ATGTATACTGTCTATCGTGTCCTGGAGGACATGCAGTATGTTTTCTAGGTACTTGCTTACGGTGTTTACAGCATCTGTCCGTGCACTCAACTTAGTTTTAGACTAAACTTTCAGAAACATGGACTGGGTACTGTTATAGAGTTTGTGATTTGTCTGGCCAGACACCGGAATGCATTGTAATTTTAAATGTAAGCGGTGCTGATCAGGGGTGAATGCTTATATTTGTGTAAAGCGGTGCTGATCAGGGGTGAATGCTTATATTTGTGTAAAGCGGTGCCCTTCTAACCTTTTTTCAACAAAAGGAAATTCACTGTAGACCCTCGCAGCCACTCGCAAAAAAAAAGTGTTTTGGTCCCCCTGCCTCCCTTTTGCGATGCCCAGGGTCTCTGCCCTACCTGCCCATACCCTAGTTACACCACTGCTTCCACCCCACTAATTTCACACATCAAATCCTTTTTCTGCTCCGCCCTCCCTTTCTGCTCCCCCTTGCTCCCTGTATCTTCCACCCCACTAATTGCATTTTTGGAATATTTTCTGGAACACTTGACACAATGTGATAACATGATCACATGCAGAAACAACTGTCTCGCACTCATCACCACTAAAGGAATAAAATGGTTGCGTCTTTCTTCTTCTTCTTCGCGTTCACCAGCTGTAAACTCTGGCGGAAGGTTCTGGTTGCTCGTCTACTACTGAACTGCACTGCTCCAGAACCTGAGTGTTGCGTGTGCATCAGTTTTAATCTCATTCTCTTGAATACAGACTGTTGGTTCCTTGCCTCTCCGCGTCTTCAAAGGAAGCTCCCCAATTAGTTGACTCTTACAACATGCGTTTTTCCCCACAATGGGGCCCCGGAACCCACACAGGGGAGTTGCGTCTAAAACCAGCGGTTCTCAGCCTGTGGCTCGCGACCCCTTTAAGTGTTGAATCGTCCTTTCACAGGGGTCGCCGAAGACCATCGGAAAACACCAATTCTCTGAAGTTATGAAGCAGCAACAACAATAATATTAGGGATTGGGGGGGGGGGGGCACAACATGGGAAACTGTATTAAAGGGTCGCGGCATTGAGGAGGTTGAGAACCCCTATGCTAAACGAATTTTGTTTTTTCCAGAAAATTCCATTTAAGAAAGCGGTAGCAGTTAGTGCTCTTATTACATACACAAAATCCATCTGGAAATGTGACACGTTTAAAAAAAAAAAAATTATTAAAGCCCCACCCCGGATGTACTTCGGGATACTTCATAACCTTCGTCGTCATCTTCGTTGCCATCATCATCATCATTATCCGATACCACTGCATGTCGTTGATCACTAGTTGCTGATGACTGTCTGATAGGTCCCTACACCTTTGACGGTCAAATGCGATGAACTTCACGATTGTGTGCCTAAGGCCCGTCTAGTCAGTCAGGTTTGTATCCAGATCTTTCTTGGTTTGCCTCGTCTCCCTTTCCACTCTACTGAGTCCTGTACTGTTGCTTTTGAGAGGTTGTTAGATCTTTCTATCGTCTTCTGACCTAATATAACCTTACCGTTGAAGGGCGATTCTAGGACATCTCCTCCTCATCCTCCTCCTTCTCCTTTCATCTTCTTCCTCTACTTTTTCTTCTTCTTCTTCTTCTTCTTCTTCTTCTTCTTCTTCTTCTTCTTCTTCTTCTTCTTCTTCTTCTTCTTCTTCTTCTTCTTCTTCTTCTTCTTCTTCTTCTTCTTCTTCTTCTTCTTCTTCTTCCTCTTCTTCTTCTTCTTCTTCTTCTTCTTCTTCTTCTTCTTCTTCTTCTTCTTCTTCTTCTTCTTCTTCTTCTTCTTCTTCTTCTTCTTCTTCTTCTTCTTCTTCTCCTTCTTCTTCTTTTTCTCCTCCTTCTCTTCTTCTTCTTCTTCTTCTTCTTCTTCTTCTTCTTTTCCTCCTCCTCCTTCTCTTCTTCTTCTTCTTCTCTTCTTCTTTTTTCTTCTTTCTTCTTCTTCTTTCTTCTTCTTCTTCTTCTTCTTCTTCTTCTTCTTCTTCTTCTTCTTCTTCTTCTTCTTCTTCTTCTTCTTCTTCTTCTTCTTCTCCTCCTTCTACTCCTTCTCTTCTTCTTCTTTTCCTCCTTTTCCTCCTCCTCCTCCTCCTCCTCCTCCTCCTTCTTCTTCTTCTTCTTCTTCTTCTTCTTCTTCTTCTTCTTCTTCTTCTTCTTCTTCTTCTTCTTCTTCTTCTTCTTCTTCTTCTTCTTCTTCTTCTTCTTCTTCATCTTCATCTTCTTCTTCTTCTGCTGCTGCTGCTGCTGCTGCTGCTGCTGCTTCTTCTTCTTCTTCTTCTTCTTCTTCTTCTTCTTCTTCTTCTTCTTCTTCTTCTTCTTCTTCTTCTTCTTCTTCGTATCTTCTTCGTAGTTTGTTGTACAAACGACACTAATGCAGAACATGTAATTAAGTTTGTTATTTCTTTCTTTCCGTACTCAAAGTAATTCGTTGAACAACGACATTACTGTATAACATGCTATGAAGTTTTTTAATATTTCCTATTTATACTTTATGTAATACGTCCAACAACCGAAACTGCTGCTGAATTTGTTCTGATGTTTATTCTACCACCCACTGCGTTGTGTAAAGTTGCCAAAAAAACAGTAGTTTGGTATATCTATTTTAAATCATTGCACAAAATGCGCTTAAACTTATGTATACATAATGTACCTGTTTCAATTTGTAAAGCAAAACCTTAGTGGAATGGAGTGTATGTGCGTGTGTGTGTGTGTGTGTGTGTGTGTGTGTGTGTGTGTTTGGCTCTGAGAGTGTTTGTGTATGTGTCGCTCTGAGTATTTTTGTGTATATATGTGTGTTTATGTGTGTGTGCCTGAATAATATTTCTGTTGGTTACCGTCTTGTTCGAACAGAAATCTTATTCTCATGTAAATCATGTATGTGCAACATAAAGTCGAATTAGTTAGTTAGTTAGTTGGGTTATCATCATTGCACTCCGGACATGTCCATAGGTGCTCAGATCCTCCCCTCAGTATGAACCCCAAAGTCCGATGGCTAATAGTACCAGTTCTATGTTGATTAACAAGTCTTCTGACGTGTCCGGTGTGCGTCTCGTTTTTTGCTGTGCCGATCTTAATTCCCAAGTCTGCTATTCTGGCGAGTGATGTGGATTCACTGTCACCAAAGTCCTCTATCCTTCCCATTTCTCTGAGGGCATTAATAATATCATCATGATCCATAGGCCGACCGTCGGTAGTGATAGCGGATCCAGCCAACCTGTCAGCTCTTTCATTTCCATCGACGCCTGCGTGTCCCGGAACAAAAATAAAGGTGACTCCTCGCACAGTGGACTTCTGAATTGATTCAAGCCATTGTCTTCGCACTGAACCTGCCTGAACCCTCCGGATCATACTCATTGAATCACTGAGTATACATATGCGGGTGTATTTTTGTGTTTCAAGCCAGGCAAACGCTTGCGTCACTGCCATCACCTCCATCGTCATGCTGCTGGTTGTCATGCAGAAGGCGCCATTGGCTTCTTTGACTGTTCTGCAAACTGAGCGGGTTGTAAATGCCCATGCGCTTCTTCTTTGGCGTATAACGGATCCGTCTGTATAGATTAGTGCATAAAGTCGAATATATGGACTTAGGCCATACATTAGATCAGGGCAATTCAGCTTAGTTTACTCAGGGGCCAAGAGGTTAAAAATGAGGATGGTGACGAACCAAAAACCCGAGTGTCAGCTTAGAAAGATCATTTATGCATTACTGTCAGTCACTATATAAAAAAGTATCTTGATATACGGATGTGAATCATGGACAATTTGTAAATTAGTGAAAACTTTTTTTTCAGAAATTGCTCAGATGTGGTTTTAGAGACTAGTGATGAAAACACCCTGGACATATGAAAAGAGCAATGAGGATGTCTTGAAAGAAACTGACTCACGAAAAAAACTGATTGCCTATTTCAGACAGAGACAATCTACATTCTTCGGCCATGTGATGAAAAGAAGAAAACTGGAGTACATCGTGATAGTAAGGAAGTTGAAGGGGAGGAGCGGTAGAGGGAGACTGAGAGGAAAGATGGCAGACAGTTTGACATCATGGCATGAAGGATCATTTGTGTCAGAGTTGATTGAAAGTACACAAGACAGAAGATTATGGATAGACAGGACTGCCAACGCCACACGGTGTGGACTTTAAGAAGAAGTTTGTCACTTCTGTATGTATGTACCACTTTTTTTTAGCGCGTTTAAACAGCGGGTAGTGAGAATGAGGATTTAGTTCCTTAATGCAGTAAAATTGGCAATAATCCTGGGACCACTCGCTAGGTCTCTGCTGGTCGGATTCTGGCCGCTGACCGCAAGTTGAACAGCCCTGCCCAAGAATATACGGATGCTGATGACCAATGGATTGCGACAGTGGCACGGGAGGATATTATCGGGGGAACTGATTCACAGGACCAGGGACAGAGATCTGTGGAGATACATGAACGCCTACGGAAGAGTACGTAATGATGATGATGATGATGATGAAGAAGCTAAAATCAGTGTGTACGTGAGCGCGTGCATGCATGTATGAATACATGCATACGTACATACAAACATGCGTACTGACACTCACACATACATACGCGAGTATGCACATGCACACACACACACACCCACACCACAAATTTTTGTCTATGTGATACAATTTTTTTTTATTAAATAATTCTTTTTGATTATGTCTATGTCTGGCTTTATCTGAACCAAAAAAATTACTTGTGTCTTTATTTGTGTCTGCATTTGTGTGAACTAAACTATCACTTCTGTCTGTGCCTATGTCTGCATTTATTGGAGCCGTCGGCATCTCTGGCTTAGTACGTTTATGTATGCCTTTGTGTGAACCAATTAATTACTTCTGTCTACGTTTATGTCTGCCTCTACCTGAGCCAAAAAAAAAAAACTCTTCTTGGTGCGTTTATGTCTGCCTTTATCCAAACCACATGATTACTTCTGTCTAAGTTTAAGTCCGCATAGTATACATATTTATCTTCTTCTATTTTCAGAGACCTTAGATTTAATAAAATCAAAAGAATTCCAAGAGGAAGTTTTCCAAACCTACCCCATTTACACACATTGTAAGTATTTTCATTTATTAACGAATAAATAATTGATATCGTTTTCATAATGAAGTTTCGCTGCAGTGAATGTATGCTTCCACTTGTATCTTAGGAAATGGTTACTTAGTGTCGCCATAACTGTACTGATATTATGCTTCTTTCTTCATTCTTCTTCTCTTCTTTTCTTTTCTTCTTCTTTCTTTCTTCTCTTCTCTTCTTCTCTCTTTCTTCTTCTTCCTCTTTCTTTCTTCTTCTTCTTCTTACTTCTTCTTTCTTCTCTTCTTCTTCTTCTCTTCTTCTTCTTCTCTTCTTTTCCTCTTCTTCTCTTCTTCTCTTCTCCATTTATTTTTCTTTCTCTTCTCTTCTTCTCTCTCTCTCTTTCTTTCTTCTTCTTCTTCTTCTTTTCTTCTACTTCCTTCTCTTCTTCTCACTCCTTTCTTCTTCTCTCCCTTCCTTCTTCCTCTCTTCTCTCTTTTCATTCTTCTTCTCTTTTCTTCTTCTTCTTCTCTGCTCTTCTTCTTCTTCTTCTTCTTCTTCTTCCTTGTCTTCAGGCTTACTTCTTTCCTTCTTTCTTCTTCTTTTCTTCGAGGACTTCTCTCCTTCTTCTTCTCTCTTCTTTCTTCTTCTCTTTTCTCTTTCTTATTTCTTCTTCTTCTTCTTCTTCTTTCTCTTCTCTTTCTTCTCTTCTCTTCCTCTTTCAGGACTTCTCTTCTCTTCTATTTTCTTCTTCTTCTTTTCTTCTCTTTCTTCTTCTTTCTTCTTTCCTTCTCTTTTCTTCTTCTTCTTCTCTTCTTTCTTCTTCTTTCTTCTTCTTCTCTTCTGCTTCTTCTTCTTCTCTTCTTCTTCTTCCTTCCGTTCTCTCTTCACTCTTCTTTCTTTTCTTCTTTCTTCTTCTATTTCATTCTTCTTCTTTCTCTTCTCTCTTCTTCTTCTCTCTTCTTCTTCTCTTCTCTTCTTCTCTTCTCTTCTCTCTTCTCTTCTTCTTTTCTTCTCTTCTTCTCTTCTTGCTTCAGTCTTCTTTCTTCTTCTCTTCTGCTTCTCTTTTCTTTTTTCTTCTTTTCTCTTCCTTTTTTCTTCTTTTCTTTTCTTCTTCTTCTTTCCTCTCTTCCTGTTCTTCTTCTTCTCTCTCCTTCTTCTTTTTTTCTTCTTTTTTCTATGCTCTCTTCTTCTTTCTTCTTCTTGTCCTTCTTCTTCTAACTTCTTCTTCTTCTTTTCTTCTTCTTCTCTTCTTCTTCTTCTTCTTTCTTTTTCTTCTTCTTTCATTCTTCTTCTTTTCAGCTTCTCTTCTTCTTTTTTTCTTCTTCTTCTTTTCTTCTTTCATCTTTTCGTTCTTTTCTTCTTCTTTTCTTTCTCTTCTCTTTTCTTCTTCTTCTTCTCTTTTTGCTTCTCTTCTTCTTCTCTTGCGTCTTCTCTTTTCTTCTTCTCATCTTGTCTCTTTTCTTTTTCTTCTTCTTTTTTTCTTGTCTTCGTCTTTTCTTCTTCTCTTCTTCTTCTCTTTTCTCTTCGTTTTCTTCTTCTTCAATCTTCTTCTCTTCTTCTCTCTTTCTTCTTATTCTTCTCCTCTTCTTCTTCTTCTTCTTCTTCTTTTCTTCTATCTTTCCTTCTTCTTCTTCTTTCTTTCTTCTTTCTCTTCTTCTCTTTCTTCTTTTGCTTCTTCTTTTCTTTCTTCTTCTCTTCTTCTCTTCTTTCTCTTCTCTCTTTCTTCCGTCTTTTTCTTTTCTGTTTTGCTTTCTTCTTCTCTTTTTTTCTTTTCTTCTCTTCTTCTTCTCTGCTTCTTCTTTATCTTTCTTCTTTTCTTCTTTCTTTCTTTTCTCTTCTTCTTTCTTCTCTTCTTCTCTTCTTCTCTTCTTCTTCTTTCTTCTTTTCTTTCTTCTCTTCTTCTTTTTCTTCTTCTGTCTTCTTCTTTTCTTCTTCTTCTTTCTTTCTTTCGTTTCTTTTTCTCTCATCTTCTTCTTCTTCTTATTTTCTTTTTCTTTCTTACTTCTTCTCCTTTTCTTTCTTCTTTTCTTCTCTTTCTTTTCCTTCTTCTGTCTTCATTCTTCTTCTTTCTTCGGTCTCTTCATCTTCTCTTCTTCTTCTTTCTTTCTCTCTTCTTCTTCTTCTTATTCTTCTCTTCTTCTTCTTCTTCTTTCTCTCTCTCTCTTCTTCTCTTCTTTTATTTCTCTTCTTCTCTCATCTTCTCTTCGTCTTCTTCTTCTTTTCTTCTTTCTTCTTCTTCGTCTTTCTTTACTTACTTCTTTCTTCTTCTTATTATTCTTTTCTTTCTTTCTTTTCTTCTTCTTCTTCTTCGTCTTCTTCGTCTTTTTTCTTCTTCTGCTTCTTCTTTTCTCTCTTATTCTTCTCTTCTTCTTCTTCTTTTATTTCTTCTTCTTCTTCTTCTTCTTCTTCTTCTTCTTCTTCTTCTCTCTTTTTTATTCTTCTTATTATCTTCTTATTCTTTCTTTCTTCTTCCTTATTATTCTTCTTCTTCTTTAGTCTTCTTCTTCTTCTTCTTCTTTCTTCTTCTTCTTTTCTCTTCTTCTTCTTCTCAGCATTCTTCTTCTTGCTTCTTCTTCTTCTTTCTTCCTTATTCTTCTTTTATTCTCTTTTTATTCTTTTATCTTCAAGCATTCGACATTGAGGTTCATGGATGCAGTATCACCCGCCTCCATTCATCTCTCTGGTTGGCTTTCTCTTTCCATTTGGTGTCACCAAGTGTTTGCAGGTCTCTCTGGACATTGTCTCTCCGTCGTCTTCTTGGTCTGCCTCGTGGTCTACGATCATTCATCTCCCCTGTGTTTACAGTTTTCACTTCTGTGTCATTTGACATTCTTTCAATATGCCCCAACCATTTTAGTCTTTTAGCTCTCATGATGCCAGTGATCAATTGTGATTTAAATTAAACAGATTATGTGTTACGTTGTTGCTTCTCACTCTCCATTCCCCGCTGTTAGCATCTTTGATGGGTCCAAACATTTGTCGTAAGACTGTTTTCGAAAACCTGTAATAAGGCCTCATCTCTTTTATTTCTGCTTACAGTTTCAGAGCCATATAAAACGACAGGTCTTATCAATGTTTTATATATTTTGATCTTGGTGTTGGGAGACACACACTTTGACTTTAGCAGATGTTGAAGGGCATAGTTTACTTTATTTCTAGATTGTATTTCTTCTCTCAGCACGTTGGAGCAGTTGAGGTTTGCAACCAAGTACTTATATGTTTCCGTTCGTTAGATTTTCATATTATCGACTTGGATGTGGCCGGGGTTTATATTTTTTTCCATGCCTAGTTAGTATTCATACAGAATAGTAAACATTTAAAACCATTTTATGTTTTGCATCCTTCAGTCAGTCTGTGGTAACTAATAACTAGGAATGAAAGAATCCTAAGTATTATAACAAGTAACTAATCTTGGAAAATGTCACTGACAGCTTAGTTAATGCAGGAAAGCTGCATTAGCTTTCAACAAAACAAATCGTTCCATGTTGTCAGCGTTAAGGCCGTGTATGCAGAAGCGGGTGTAAGGTAACTACTATTCGTATTCGGCCCGACCGCAACTATTCGGCCGAATAAACGATATAACGATAAATACCCGATTACACGAAGTGCCACCATGTGGATGAGGATCACCCGTGGAGAGGTCCCAGAAACCGCGTTCAGCCATTAGACCATATTTATGACCTGGCTATATTGCGGCCCCTGGCAAGTGCCTTGGTGGCGCTTCAGAATAACGAAAAATTGCATCCTATTAGGAGATGACTGGTTAAAGACTTTAGAATAAAGCAGTGTTCATTTTATAACAATTTCGTTCTTTTTCACCTCCTTCTGCTGCCAGATTTTTAAATAACAATGAACTTCAAGAGCTGGAGGACGGATCTTTCCATGGTCTACCAGAACTGCGATTTGTGTGAGTACCTGCTTTTATGTTAATTTTGAACAACAGGGTGGGTGAGTTTGAAAAACAAAACAACAATAACGAACAAAACGGACCATTAGCAAAACAATAAAACTGGTCTTTTTATGTTGGCTTTGCTTTCGATATGTTGTTGAGTTAAGTTGAACCAAGAATTGACACCAGAGCACCTGCGGCATTCTCATATGCGCCCCGTCCCCATCCTCAGCAGCCAGCGCCGAGTTTAAATACTTATGGTGCCAGTCGTAGTAGTCTTGTTGTATGCCCGTCTTGCCCTTCGTCTGAGTGTAGTGTGCCGGCCGAACCCTCTGGTCACACCCAAGTGCATCATTCTCTCTCGCATATAATTATCAAGTTTCTCTTCTGACTTCGTTACTTGTTTCCAGAGGGCTATGACCACATCTGCCTTGTCATGTATCAGTTCATCACCCGGCTGTGTAGATCTAGCCAGTCTGTCTTCCTGTTCCTATCCCCACCACGCCGGTATATATGGCTATGGTGCAGGGCTATTCAGCTAAATTTACTCTGAAGCCAAAATTGTTCAAATATGGATCGTCAGGAGCCAGAATCCTGAGCCCCGGCGTAGAAAAATCCGTAATACAATGCAACTGGGAGTCGCCGTGACGTAGCGGCTAGACGCTCGCCACAGATTGGAAGGTTGTGGATTCGCTCCCTGACGAATCCGGACTATTTTCAAAAATTACCTTGGCTCCCAGGTCGAGCCAGCCTTGAGTGGGTACCGGATGCAGTCCCGGGAAGTAAAGGCGGTCGGCGTGATGCTGACCACATCGCCCATTTTGTGCAGATTGTTCTATAAAATATAGGTCTAGCCAAAAGTCCTATATGCCTAAAGGCGATGAAAAGGGTCCTTTACTTTACTTACTTACAATGCAACTGAGAGCGATTCACGGGCCGTTTTCTAGACCTCCCGGGGCAGATGTGACTGCCAGTTGAATAGCCCTGCTCTAATGTCATAAGGATGCCACGCCAACGTTTGTCACGACACACCCAGCACTACCGGCTCTAACCTGCTTCAGATGCATTCATGCTATACATGAAATACAAATCAATACATCGTCGACGGGTTTCCCACTGACTTGCCGGAAGACGACTTCGTTGACGATGTCATTAGGATGCAACGCCAATGTTTGTCATGACACACCCAGCTCTCCCGGCTCCAACCTGCTTCAAATGCATTCATGCTATACATGAAATACACCGACGACCGGTTTCCGCTTACTCGCCGGAAGACGACTTCGTCGACAGTCGGGACAGTATTTAGGTCTGTATCCTTTGATCGTATCAACACTGCAGGAGTCCTTTTCGGGGCTCTTGGTGGTGTGCAATGCTAAGACATTTTATCTGGCGCACATAACCTAGTCACAATTATAACCTAAAGCTCCCCCTTCAGGGATGCTGGTTGAAGGTAAGGATTTTTGTTTCCAGCAAAGCACCTGTCCACAAATTAATATTTACCGAATGCGAATGTAAACAATGAAACAATCTATTGTTTGAATTGTGGCTTGGCGTGTTTCATGGAATCTCACCAGGTGCGATCTACACAGTTTACGGCAATCCTTAATCTATACCCCTCACGTTGTGAAAGGCACAGTAGAACAATGTTTTTTTTTTTTTTAGGTTTATGCATTTAGTTTGAAAGGACTCATATTTTTGGTTTCATCTTGAGTTGAGTTAAGTTGAGTCAAGAATTGACATCACAGCACTCATGGCATTCCCATGCGTGCTCCGTCCTCATCTTCAACAGCCAGCTCAGAGTTCTAATACAGATGGTACCGGTCACAATCTGGTTGTATGCCCGTCCTCTGAGTGTAGTGAGCCGGCCAGACCCTCTGGTTACACCCAGGTGCCTCCTTCTCTCCAGGCCATACTAATCTTGTTTCTCTACTGTTTCCATTGCTTCTTTCTAAAGGGCCTTGACGATGTCTGCCTTGTCATGTAATAATTCACCATCCAATCGTACAAATCCAGCTTGTATGTCTGCCTGTTTATTACCGGCATAAACTGAGAGAAAAAAAAAAAAAAAAATCCAGAGTATGCTCACTACCTGTGACCTTCCCTTTTTGTTTCATCATATGTTGATTTAACTCACTTGATGTGATACAGGAAAAGATGTCAGGCAACAGACTGTGTAATCCATTGTTAGGTCTGTATTATTTAAAGTAGATTAAACCTAAAGGAAACATTAAAGGTTGAAGTCTACCCTGGGGAATTGGAAAGAGCAGATTTTGCAGCAGTTTTCTCAGTATTATATCTTCAAAGGCTTAGATGGCTAAGACACACCAGGTGAACAGACAAAGGTAGAATTTTCAATAACATCATATGCAACAGGTTTAGCTGAGTTCACCTAGGGGCCAAAATATTGAATGTTGAATTAGGAATCGACACCAAAGCACTCGGGATAGGCCCAAAAGCTCTCCGTCCCCATCTTCAGCAGCAAGCGAAGAGTTCCTATTCCGATGGCACCAGTAACTGACAGGGGCCAAAATATTGAAAATAGAGTCGTGAGAAAGAAACATTTAAAAAAGTTATTAATTGGTACCGTGGTGCCTAGTTTGAGAATCGCTGCGTTAACGCATCGTTAGCCCGGTTTGGTGACGTCAGCAGCCAGCCCGTCAGCTGGAGCCGGTCTTGGCTGGCCGGATTCAGTCCTTGAGCCTGCAGTTGAATAGCCGCGATCTATCACGTGGGTGAGAGATCTCAGGGCCGACCTCTACTGTGTTATTCAGAGACGTGCAAGCATATTGTTGATTCTAGTGTTACAGAGAGGGATTGAATCACAGAAACAGGACCCAAGCATTCAAGGGAGGACGTCGAGGAAAGGAAAATGACAAAGGATAAATTAAGTGATTCTTTGAAACCTGAGCGTTTGAAAAGAAAGACAACAATGTGAGATGGAAACAGTAGATGTCCGCCCCCACCCCCCCCTTCTCATCCCCCAGTGGCTGCAGTCTAAAATTGTGACCACGTTTAGATCAATCTCAATCTGGGACGGATCACTACACTCAGAGGAAAGGCAAGACGGACAAATTACCAGATTGTGACCGGTTCCATCAGTACTGGAATTCTGCACTGGCTGCTGAAGATGAGGACGGAGCATGCATGGGAATGCCCTGAGTGCTGTGATGTCTTGACTCAACTCAGCTCAACTTAGCTCTCCATCTGGGTGGCAAGTCAACATGGCGAACACCCAGGGAATCCCTTCAGCCTCACAAGAATTTATAATTGAGGCAGGAAGCAGAGAAGAAAGGGGAGTGGGAGGGGGGGGGGGGGTTAGAAGAAGATGCATGAATAAATAAAATAAACTTTAGCTAGGTAACGGCTACGCAATATATGCGGGTAGGGATGAAGTATTATTACTGCATACCCTATTCAACAATGGCCTGAAAACGCGTGCACTTTTATTGTTGAATACGTTTCTTAGTGAGATTTTATCGTACCTCAAGCTTCACACCTCCACCTCCGTATTGCGAAAATGGGAACTCCGTGGCTAAGTGATCAAGCCGTTCGTCTCGCGCTCTGAAGATGCATATTTACGGAGATCTCAGGGATCATCGCCGGAGCTACGGAGTCAGTGCTCTGTGCGACGCTATCTGCAGGCAGCTAGCTGTTTTACGGATAAAACCTGTGCAATGAGGTCGATCCTCTCACCTTTACCTGTACGTATTGCAAAATGTAATGCTATCGACTGTTCGAGAAGGAGGCAAATGAAAGTAACAAGTGGCGCTCTTTACGGAGAAATGACCACTTAAGTGGCTTTTGAATCCATCCCGTGCAGACTCTTAGTCATTAAAGAGGTGCTTGATAGAGACACTGATGTTGTTTCATTTGCTGGGAGAACGAATTTGTACAAACATGTTTTGAAAAACTGGAAGTAGCGAAAGAAAGTCTTTTCGTTTTTGAAGTTCAGCGTGCTGTTTGCATCACTTTCTGATTTTTAAATATGTGATACGATTTTTTGTGTTTGTTTTTGGAGTGATTTTTCCAGCCATAATGATTCGGGAAAGGTCTAGAGTTGTTCACACTGCACTGTCGTTTATGGATCTTAGCCTGATAGTGACAGTAGTCTTGATATTATGACTGATAATGCATGTGCCAAACCTGTTGGCGATAATTTAGGTCAGGGTGGAGATTGAACAAAATATTTAAATCAAATCATCTGTTTTCTCGATTTCGGTTGTTGCGAAATCTCACATGCCATTCAAAAATGGTCATAACATCAAAAGTATTTAAATTAATTGTTTCAAATAAAGACTAGCTGATACACAAATGAGCAGAGATGGTATGTGAATTCTTAAAAATGGAAAGCAGTGTTGCTGCTTAAGGGGAGCACAGCATTATTTTGAACTGAACTGAATTTCTACCCCACCAAGACATCACACAAGCGATAAACACCCGATGACACAAAGTGCCACCATGTGGATGAGGATCGCCGTGGAGAGGTCCCAGAAACCGCGTTAAGATATTTGGCCATATATATGGCCTGCCTATATTGCGGCCCCTGGCAAAAGCCAGAGTAGGGCTTCAAATGACAAAAAAATTCGTTCTAAAGAGGACGTAGTTAAAGCATTATTTTGACTGACTTTCTACCCCACCAAGACATCACACAAGCGATAAACACCCGATGACACAAAGTGCCACCATTCGGATGAGGATCGCCGTGGAGAGGTCCCAGAAACCGCGTTCAGACAATTGGCCACACTTATGGCCTGCCTATATTGCGGCCCCCGGCAAAAGCCAGGGTGGGGCTTCAAATAACAAAAAATTTCGTCCTGATGTTATATTTTGTGTAAATAATCTTCATATCCATCTAACATTCTTGAATGTTGTGTGGTTTTAATGGTATTTTGTTGTAATACTGACACTTAAATAGTTTAGATTTCTTCTGCACTCATTTCTCTTTAATGTGATATATGATATGTCCCTATACAGCTCATTATTTTTCTTTATCATGTTGCAGTTCAAAATTAATGCTG